AAAGACTCACTCCCACCCTCCTTTCCAGCACCAAGGTAAAGCATGTGGTCTTCCCAGGCACATAAAGTCTGGCTCCCTAAAGAGCAGGCCACTTCATGCACAACCATGCACATTCCTGAGATGCCTTTCATCTTAGCTGATGAAGCAAGAAACTTAAGTCCGGAGAGGCTCACGTGTCTTTTATATGAATTTCATGTAACGGGTTTAGTGGCCAAAGCCCAGGAATGGGAAACAGGAGGCTAGTTCTAACCTCAACAGTATCACCGTGTGACCTGGGATAGGTGACGTCCTTGGAACTTTTCTTTCTTCAGCCATGAAATGGACATACTAGGGGGAAACAAGGAAAGCCTATGTCAAATTAATGTGGCTCAATCAGAGGTCGGGATCTCTTCATTTTCAAGTACCGATCACAGTAGATGATCAGTCTTTGAGAATAGCTTACTCCTTTGTTATGTTACTCATGAAAGAATCCAGGACAACAGTATTGTAGAGTGGCTCCAGAGTTGCATGTTCTGGGGTCAGGTCACTACTTATGAAGTCATGTTCCTTAAGGTTTCATTTTCCTATCTATAACATGAAGAGCATAATAGGTTCAATTTCATAGTGCTGCTGTGCTACAGTGAGTTGGGGGCTGACGATGACTCTGACCTTATAACCTCGCCATGAGGATCGTGCCATGGCTACAACCACAGAGGACAAGACGTGATTTCAATCAGCCAAAACCCCAACATGGCAATGAGCCCACACCAGGTTTTCCTAGACTAGGATCAATACAAAGACTCTGGACATCATCCAGGTGCGTCGGCTTCCAGGCAGCACAGCTCCCTTTGGCCTCCAACAGCCCAGAAACATGCCCACTGGACACATCTTCTCAGAGTCTATAACCCTCTTCACTGCTTAAGTATTTCCATGATTTTCCACTAAGACTCTTTCCCCAGCTCAACTATTTATCTTTTGAGCCCAAAACCGCTTCCCAGCATGGGCAAACCACCAGAATTGGTAAGCTACCAGAGTTGGAGTCCAATAAGGCCTGAGTGCAAAACCTCACAGAGACATTGCCTACTCCTCCCCAGACCTGCTTCCTTTGCTGAGCAATTTACCACTTTTTGCAGGCTTGCAAACAGGCCCTCCCACCAAGAGTGCTGCAGCTGTGGGGCGCCCAGTCCAAGCAGTCTGGAAACAATTCCCTCAGCTGCATGGCTCCAGGCCAGCAAGCAGCCTGAGAACCAACCCCATGAAGAACTAGTCTCAGCCGGTGAGGGTGAAAGAAATCCAGGAAACAGAGGAGCCAGAGATCAGAATCAGCTCTGAGAGATATGAGACATGGCAAAAAAAAAAAAAAAAAAAAGCAGTTACAGGGAACCAGATGGCTACTCCTTTTCATTGGTTAACAAGAACTTGCTTCTATGCTTTGAGATCAAAGTTTCAGGTGGGCATTGTTCTTAGATTCCGGTTTGGACAGAATTAGATGTCCCCCCATCCTTCATCTCCCTATTATGTATACGCTGCTATCCAATGGCAAGACAGATTACAGCAGTACTCCAAAAAAAAAAAAAAAATTTAAATTTTAAGATAATTTCCACAAAATTCTTAAGTCTTTTGAGATAACTGTCTCCTTAATGTAGGTTTCTTGTGCCAAATACTTTTGTTATACCTGTCTTCCTGACTTGCGGCCAGCGTCTGTCTATTGGAACCTGGGTAAGTCAATCAATCTTTCTAAGCCTTAACTTACTTATCTATAAAATGGAGAGGGTGAAAACTACCTGTCTCAACCTTCTTTACTTCCAAGTCACAAGCATAAAATAAAATTAATCAGATCTGGAGCAATAGCCTAGTGGCTAAAGTCCTCGCCCAGCACATGCCAGGATCCCAAATGAGCACTGGTTCATGTCCTGGTAGCTGAACTTCCCAACTAGCTCCCTGCCTGTGGCCTGGAAAAGTAGTAAAGGATGGTCCAAAGCCTTGAGACCTGCATCTGTGTGGGCGGTCTGGAAGAGGCTCCTGGCTTCGGATTGATTCACCTCCAGCTGCTGCGGCTACATGGGGAGTGAATCAATGGATGGGAGATCTTCCTGATTCTCCTCCTCTCTGTATATCTGACTTTAAAAAAAAAAAGACTCATCACTGAAGTACTTGGCAAATGAGAAGATTATTTTTAAGCTATAGTAAATTACCAGGTTGATATGGTTTAGTCTATTCACAAAACTACATGTAGAAGCAGCCATATTCTCAAAATGAAACTAAAAGAGAATGTCAATATTTAGCTGAATCTGCCAAGAACATTCCACGTGACTCAATTTTTACTCTTGGAAATCTCTGTATTTCCTATACCTCAAAAGTGTAGATGAGTCTTTCATTCTCCCACACTTTAAACTCTTTCACCTCCAATTCCAATGCTTTTCCTTTTGGTCCCCTCTCTACTCCATCTGCCATTAGTTTTTAATATGCAGCTCAATGGGCCTCACATTTTTTTCCTCTCCCATGTACTATTTTCTAGGTGACGCCTGGCAATGAACCCTCTTTGGTCTCCTGTATTCCAGTTTTAGTACTTTCTATCCAATACCTTGGCTGGCATTTTAAAAGCTTGGGAACAGAGTGGGCACTATGGTTCGAATGTGTTCGCTCAAGTTCATGCTGGAGACAAAAGCCTGAATCCAACAGTGATGGGAAGTGGGAGTCTACTTAACAAGAGAAGACTGGGTCAGCAGGGCTTTGCCTTCATGCATGGATTGATATTGCTATCACAGGAGGGCCTTAGTTGCCTACAAGATTCTAGTTTTTACAAAACCATGCTCATTCCTCTTCTGCCCTTCCATCTCCCACTGTGGGTGGGACAGCAGAGCACATGGGCCTTCCACAGACGCCAGTGCCATGCTCTGGAACTTCCTACTTTCCACCAGAGTGAGGTCCGTATGTGTCCGTAAATCACACAGGACAATCTCTGCTGTTCTGTGACAGCAACAGCAAGCAGACAGAGATGGTAGGGAAGTGCACAGATCTCAGCTGTCTTTAAGGAAGGGGGCTACTTAGCAAAGCATAATGCTCTGAGTCCTGTAGCAATGGAACACACATATTGGTAAATCTGCACTCTGTCATTTTTAATTGAATTAACCCCACTTGAGAAGGTACCTACAAATCTATTAAAGAAGGCTTTTTTCAATAAAAAAATTATTTTAATTTTTATTAGAAAGTCAGTTATACAGAGAGGAGGAGAAACAGAGAGGAAGATCTTCTGTCTGTTGATTCACTCCCCAAGCAGCTCAATGGCTGGAGCTAAGCTAATCCAAAGCCAGGAGCCTCTTTCAGATCTCCCACGTGGGTGCAGGGTCCCAAGGCTTTGGACCATCCTTTACTACTTTCCCAGGCCACAAGTAGGGAGCTGGTTGGGAAGTGGAGCTGCCAGGACATGAACTGGCACTCATATGGGATCCAGGAGCATGAAAGGTGAAGATTTTAGCTACTAGGCTACTGTTCCAGGCCCAAGAAGGCTTTTAAAGCTTAAAATAATGATATAGTTTGTGTTAGTCTGGATTAAGTTGACACCTGAAATACCTCTGCTTCAAATTCAACTCCTTACTATTACATCTGGGAAACAGTAGAAGATTGCTCAAGTGTTTGGGCCTCTGCTACACACATGGGAGATCCAGATGAAGTTCCTGGCTCCTAGCTTCAGCCTGGCCAGTCCTAGGAATTGCAGCCATTTGGGGAGTGAAGCAGAGCATGCAGGAATTTTTATATGTGTGTCTGTCTCTTTCACTGCGCAGTTCAAGTAAGTAAAAATATATATATTCTTAAAGGCCCATGTTTGAGAGATTTCGCCTTCAGGATGGTATCAGTGGGAGATGGGAAGTCCTTAGGTCATGGTGAACACACCCTCAGAAAATAGTTCTTAGCCCCAGACTGGTCCCACTCCCGCCCTCTCTGCTGCCTGCCATGTGATCCTTCCTTGCAAGTGATCCACCACTGCCATCCTCCGAACGGGCTGACTAAACCCATTCTCTTACACATGTTTGTTGTTTGGAGGTATTTTATTGTAATAATGACACTCTTACTAATCTGACACTTATGATGTCCCAGAGAACCACAGGAGGAGCATGAACAAAGGGGACTCCTGGTTTATCTCTAGAACAGCATACCTAAAAGTGCCTTGACAGGCATAACAACAGTGCATAAAAATAGAGCCTCTTCTGCAGCAAAGTGGTTCCCAGGATATGAACACATATTAATTATATGGAAAATAATGAGATTCCAGGACCAAATCAATTTGAGTAATGCTGCGATAAACAAAGTAGCAGGGCTTTCTTTAACTTCAGGACTTCTCAGCAAATTAAATAGGGCAGTTTTAACATGGAACATTGGAGATAATAAATGTTTTTACAGAACACATTTTAGGAAATGCTGGCGTTGACTACTGCCCTTATCTTAGAGACAAGGAAGCTAAGCTCAGACTTCCAGGGGAGTGTTGGGGTTAGATCCTAGGTTTCCCAACCCCAACATTTCCAAAACCCCACTTTTATGTGTTACATTTTTGGAAGAATAAACAGAGAGCAAGAATGTTTCTTCAGAGCTGTTGTAAGTTGCATTTACTCAACGATCATGATTGCCACACTGAAATAATGATCCAGGGCAACTAATATCACACTGTAGATCTAAACCAGATTTCACATGTCATAATCTATAGCTCGCTGAACACATGGATTTGGAGGGAGGGTTGCCATGGTAGAAAGGCAACGTCCTTCTCCACTGCACACCAGGGTATCTGTCATTCTTGTTCCAGACCAGTCCTTTTACAGTCGTTTGCATGTAACTAAGCATAAAGTTCACAGGAAGCTAGGAGAGAATCTCATTACACTGGAGTAGAGGCAGAGAACTGAGACCCAATGTCTAGCACTCACACATCCACCTTAACAAGTCTTCATCAGGGAGAGGGTCCAAGGTTGCAGGTGCCCTGGGTCCCTTAGAGGAAGCAATAGATGGCCAGTGACTGACTGCCCCTTTACCTTCTTCTTGGACTTAAAGACGTTACACCTGAAGATATTGCTGGCACCATCTCGAGCAATATAGCTGAAGATCTTCAGGTCTTGGGAATCGTGAGAGACATAGAAGATCCTAGAGAAGGAGCAAGAGAAAAAGGAGCTGAACATGGAATCAAGCACATATCCCAGTAGGAAAGTTCTGTTTCCAGACACTCTGAAGACACAACTCACTATAGCCAAACTGTTAGAGAAAGTTTTCCTACAAGATTACATAGCTCATATGTATGAGACACTTTCAACAGGCTCCACAAACATTGACCTGACAAGGACAAGGAAGAGTGGGTATGGCTAGGACCTGGAGCCCACACCGTCACCAGCCATCTGCTCTACTGGCGAACCTGTCCTGGCGACTGATGTGACAGAAGTTTAAAAAAGAAAATCATTTTCAGCCTTCTTACAGTAAAAGATCTGCAATCAACCCAGGGAAGTAGGGACACAGAGTTGTGGTTTTTTTTTTTTTTTTTTTTGACACCATTCAGTTACTCCAAATGAGCAGACTTAGGGAAGCAGCAACACTAAACTAACCCCATGGAGAGAGACCAGGATATTGTGTTTCAGTCTCAGAGGACCACAGCCACCATTCATCCAATCTGTGATTCGCTCAAAGCCACTGAGTTGTGTAAGTGCTGGCCTGGCAGCAGGAACGGGACAGACATGAGCTCAACAGAGCTTTCATGTAGGAGATGTTAACAAACAAATAGAAAATACATGCTATAAAGCAAAATAAGAATAAGGGAAAGAGCTGGTATTTAAGCTCTTACAGAGGGCCAATCAATGGGAACCAACCTAAAAAGATATGTGGATAAAAGCACTGCAGGTTGTGGAAACAGAATGCTTACAAGCCAAAAGTGCTAGAAGCATTTAAGACATAGCCAGTAAGCACCATGGTACAAGTAGGTAAATCTGTACACAGAAGCAACCAGAAGCCAGTACATAGAAGGCTCTGAGACAAGTGAAATGAGAAGGTACTAGAGGCTTTACTGTTTTCTAAATTAAAATTTTTAGTGAACATGAAACATCTATATATTTTATGGAGTAGATTACAACAATGTAATATATGTATATGTATGAGATAATAAATATATACATATACACAGCATAATGCAGTCACATCACCCAATCAGTTATTTTGTTTCTCTTATTACAACTATACTTACCTTCTGATCTATGGAACACCAGAATCCTTTACCTTCTGGTTTTTGTTCCCAAAAGCTTTTGGGGAGAAAATTAACTTCCTTATTCTTTGAACTAAAGAATCACTTCTTAGGTCATGGGGAGGAGGGGACATGAGCAGAGGCGGAAAAAAAGGCCGAGGAAAGGGAGGAAATTGCAAGTACTGCCCTCATGGCTGAGTTTCAAGTGGGCATAGGACAGGAGGCTAGCAGAATCACCTGTCACTGTTGTAGGTTTCACACCGGAGTGCGTGCAAGGGAAGGACTCATTTCCTCAAAACATCACTTCCACAAAACATCTCCCCGCCCCACCCAGTAACAACAGTAGTAACTTTCCCCCAGGATTTAGTAACAGCCTGATTTCTTTTAGTTTAAGTCTGTTATGTCTAGTAGCAGAAAGAGAATAGGATTTTGAGCCTATAATATTTTTAAGTTGGCTACTGACTTTAAGGGGCCCCTCAGGGGCTCAGCTGTATCCTCTGTGGAATGGGACTGCTACGTGTGACACCTTGATGGGCTACTGGGAAGATGAGATGATGGGTGAACTACCAGAACCTTCTACTTCTCCTTACTGGTGAAGACTCTAAACTCTAGTGATAGGAGTTTTGTCACTGGCTCCCAGAAGCCTGGGAAGGAAATTTGAAGACGTGGGCACAGAGAGGAGAACTATCCTGGAAAGAAATCCAAGTTCATCTTGAGGACCACAGTTTCTCTGCCTGACGCTAGAAGTGATTTCAGTACTTCTCACATGACCACCAACTCTAAATGATCCTGAAGCAGAGGCCGTTGTGCCTGTTCAGTGTGGTTTCTAAGAGAGCAAATCTAATGTTATGGGGCCCACAGGGTCCCTGTCCTTTACTGATGCCGAACTGTCTTCCTAACACCCAGGGAGACCATCATCCTCCAGCATCTCCTGATGGGCTCCATTTGATCAACTTTTGTGGACACCATCTGTACATTTCTCAAGCTTCCTAAATTCACCATGTTCCCCATCAGAACTCAGAACTCATTACCTTCTCCAAGCAGGTGGCCTCCTTTCTCCTGAGTCCAATCTTGCTTTTACCAAAGGCAGAAAGCTTGGTGACATCCTTGATGCCATTCTCTACTGCTCCTCAGTGTCTGTCACTCACGGCCATGTTCCTTGCAGCCTGCCTCCCAAAATGTTTCTGGTATGTATTTTTCTCTTCCACACCACAATACTGCCTCAATTCTCATTTTTTCATCCAAATTTTTCCAACATCATCTATCACCAACCTAATCACTATGTTGCTAAAAACGCAAATTGTATTTTATCATTTCCCTTTTAAAATCACCTGGAAGGCTCCCTGCTATCTTCAGGATAAAATCTAAATTCTTTAGCACAGACTGTATATGTCTCTGCTGTTATCTCTATAGAATCCTGACATATACAAGCTTTCAGAACCAGCTGCACACAGCTTCCTGCCACACAACTTATGCAAACACTTGGGGCATTCTTTAAGAGCTAGTTCCAAGATGCATTCTCCTCCCTTTAGCAGACTGAGCAGCCCAACCTTCTTGGGCCCACCTTGCACCCTAACATACCTCACACGATGATTTCAACAGTGCAGTTCCCTCAAGCAAAACCAATTTTGGCATGCCTGGTGCCAGCATAACGATTGATAGATGGAAGGTTCCCAATGCTTGTTTAGGAGAGAGGCAGGGTTTCCCACTGTCATTAATGAGCATTTACAATACAGGTCACTTAGTGGCTGTTCACTTTTCCCACAAAAGTCAGGTCCAATTAGTGCAGATGCCACACACATAAAACTATTTTTTTTTTTTAGTTTTAAAATTTATTATGTAATGCCCTGAGGACTGAGAACTGAATTTAAAGCTGACACAGCAAATATGATTGCAAACTGGCAAGCGCCAGCATGACACCAGGATGTGGAAAGCAAGCAGGAACGGCTGGAGCTAAGGTCAACTTAACCTCAATAGACAAAGTAACTTTATGGAACATCTGATGACAATCTGTGTGTAGATGAAGCCACTACTTTTGATTGGAGCTCTCAGAGGATTGCTCTGTTATGTCTGGACTCAGGAACTTAATGTGTTGTTATTAAAAGTCAATAACCTCTAGTCATTCAATAAGAGCTTACAAAAGTTTCCACTAATACCAACCAAGAGGCAGAAAGTTTTTCCAGAAAAATGACCTTGTTTATCATCAACAAATTAGTAAGTCAACAAATCAAGACCTCAGCCCAGATTTCCAGATCCTGTAATATATTACAAGAACTCTTCATTTCTCCCCTACATGGATTTCGTAAGGATTCTACAGGGATGGCAGAAACAGGGGAGAGGACCATCACCGCTTAAGAGATCAGGAAAGCTTTCCTTTTTTCTTCCTCTTTCTCCTTAGGCTTCTAATATTCTTGATCCCATTTATGAAGAGGCATCTTTGTCAATTTTCACAACAATTAGCAAGGATAGAATATCAAAGTAGATCACATAATGCAAATGATTAGAGTGTTGTTAGGTTTTGTTTTTGAATCTCCCAAGAGCTTCTGCTTTTATTGCAAAACATGCACAGAATTATGATTTCTCTGACTAATCAAACTATTAGGATTTAAAAGCCTTAGCAATAAACTTTTATGCAGACTCCCATATCTACAAATTTACCCCAAATGACTAAAAGATAAACAATTATCTTTGAGGTACTGGATTTGGGATTTATTGCTTGTTGGGATTCAAGTAGACAAAATGACAAAGAACCATTAGGTGCACCATCATCAATGCTATCCTTTCCAGACTACTGGTCCATAGGCACATTTTTCCCTGTTAGGATTATAGAAAAAAAATATGAGAGAGAAATTTGTGTAGAAAGAGGCTTTTGAGCTTTTCGGGTCCAGTACAGCTCTACAACCCAGTCATTCAGAATTTGTTGATGACAGGCAATTCATACCCTAACAGAGTATGTTTCCTTTATATTGGAGGTTATAACTACTTGGAAGCTTCTTAGGTTGATCAGAGGTATACCAAGAGGAGTGCAGTGGAGGAAGATGGTTGAGAACATTGGTTCTGGGTGGGACAGCCCTAGATTTCAGCCCATTGTTCTTCTCCTGTGACAAGGAAATGATCACAGGGCTGCATCTCATTTCATGGAGGCAAAAAAAAGCATGTGTGTTGAAGTGTTAGCTCACAGCAAGCAATAACAAATGGTCACTCCTCTCTTTACTTCCTGACTCGTGCCCTATTCTAGCTCTCTGCTACCTCAAAGAGCAATGTTAATCCTTCCTACAACAGCAACAATCTGAATATTGGCAACATACATATTTCTTTTTACTCCTTTTATTTTATAAAGAGGAAAATTTTCCAATAGTTTCCCAACTAGCCCATTTTCCAGATCCTCACTGCTTAACCAGTTCCACATCATGAAAATGAGAATGATCCAGCTTCAAGCTTTAGTTTTGCTACTTCCTACCTGATGTCCTTAGGCAATCTTACCATCTAATTCTGTTGCATCTAAAGTAGACATATTAATGATTTCTTTATAGCATTAAGTACTGAAACACACATGCACACACAACCACGCAAATTGCTTGTTCAGTCTCATCTTCCTTGTTTAGTTTTCCTGCCACTGACTCTTAAAATGCACTTCATAAAACCACACACATGGTATATTTGGCTAAGAATGGCTCTTTTTTTTTTTTTTTGTAGAGCATCTCTGATTATGTTCTTACCTTAGTTAAAGCATCTCATTGCTGATGTACACTGTGGACAACACAAATGTTCAAAGTTCATCTGTGCAACTACTTTAATGCGGAGTCCCTGAGTGTGCAAGTAACTGATTTTTAGGAATGGCTCCTAATGATGACTATTTCATTTCCCAGGCAGAGAGAAAAATCTTTCATCTGTTGGTTCATTCCCCAAGTGGCAACAA